TCTCTCTCTCTCTCTCTCTCTCTCTCTCTCTCTCTCTCTCTCTCTCTCTCTCTCTCTCTCTCTCTCTCTCTCTCTCTCTCTCTCTCTCCCCTGAAAATGTGTGACGGCTCTATTGGTGATACATGGATGAAGAATACTTCACCATGTCCGTGATTTCGGCTGCCTGTGGCTGTAGGACTCTATCAGCAGACAAAGCCGAACATGTTCAGCTTGAGACAACTCACCTGGATTAGCAGGTGTTATCGTCATTGTCTAGAATTTGCCCCGAGCTTCAATCATCGCCATAACAGGCCATGTAATCAGTAGGGCTAAATTCTGCTGGCGTGGGTACAGGATGCTAAGACAGCCCTAGTCTCCGGCAAAGGCATGTTTCAGGGAGATATCTAGTATGGAAACCCTCGGTGACAGACCACCAGGTGCATCGCAAGCTGGAACCAGAATATCGAGGAGGAGGCTTGAAATTCCTTACCCAACCAATAATGCATGTTGAAAACCTTCGCCATAACACCATTATGACATGCTTCCAAAAGTCCTGGTTCTACAAGAGCTAGCTGTAGGTAGTCCGCAATATCTTGAAGGACCTGTCCCCCAATATCTCGCCCCCCCCCCCCCTTAAGAACCCACTTGCATTGTGGTCGCCCATCGCCGAAAATGCAGCACCTTGACAAAGACGCTGAAGCCCACTATACGGCAGCCTTAAGCCAGGGTGTTGTAGAGGCCAAGGACCGGACCCGCGGTGATTGCTGGCAGCGGCAGTCAATGGTTGTCCTGACATGATAGACCACCTACCCTACCCATCCCCACGTCAACACTCCCAGCGCACCCCCTGTCCCTACTCTCCTACCTCAGTGTGACCAGCACTCAGGACCATCACCCTACCAGTATCGAGGGCAACTTGGACCAGACAGCAGTGACAAGCACCACGGCTGGCCCAAACCCCCAGCCCCAGTGGAAGCAGAAGTGGACAAACCTTGCCGTACGGGAACTACGGAGGCCAGACTCACGCAATCTTCTTCACGCCCAATCCAGAGAGTCTACCCAGCAAGCAGGAGTACCTCAGGAAGGGAAAAGTTGTTTCTTTTTTTTTGCAAGTTGTCACTTTATATTTCCAATAACAGGTAGTGGTCGAGGCCGGGGACTGCACAATTCTAACCGGTGGGGACCACACAATTCTAACCGTTTCTGTTTTTTTTCGAGTTGTTACTTTATATTTCCAATAACAGGTAGTGGTCGAGGCCGGGGACCTCACAATTCTAACCGGTGGGGACCACACAATTCTAACCGGTGTTACCAACGAAAACGTTTTTGGAGACCAGGTCCATCGTCCCAAGAGTGCCAAGACCACTCCACTCTGCCTCTAAACAAACCACCCCTAAAAATTGCCTTGAAGCTCATTAAAAGGTAGCTGATCTGAAGACGACTCTCAATCTCTTCAGCCCGAAATAGGCTATGACTCAACATGAATTTCAATCAAGTTTCTTTTCTTTGGCCTGTCTGCCCTCTGGGTTTCAGCCAGTCTCCATTCCTTGACTTTTATCACTGAGTCCAGTTCCGCGCCCAGAACTTCCCGGACACATGCTTCATCTGTAGCCGATCGCAGTCATGTGTCACTTGTATTTTTGCGAATTTGCTTTCATTTTTTAGGTCCAATTGGATGGTAGTGCAGTCAGGATAGCGCTCAGATTTTCTGGCATGTTGCGGAGTCCCGGTAGACGAGCATGAGCCTTTTCTGTGGAGATCCAATCATCCTCGTCCACATAACACAGGTGTTTGACCTGCAGGATGCCCTTCTCTGTCCAGGCGCGACCAAAATTACCTCTGCCATCTCCGACAAAGAAAGACTCGCTTGAATAGGATAGGATGTACTGGCAAAGAAAGGCTCACCCGAATAGCATATAATGTACGGGTTATCGAAAAGGCATTGATTAGCAATTTCCATCCTGATATTTGGAGGCTCCAGTTGGGAGGGGCTTAGTCTCCGCCAATCATTTGAGATGTCACGCCAGACCCATGATTTCACCCTGCGATTGCAGTAGGATGGAAGTAAGCAGCACAACCGAGCAACGGTGAGGTTCTGCAAAGACCAATCTCTCCGCAGGATGTATTCTGCCACCTGAATCCATATTGTGGAATGACCTTCAAACATCGCCTTGTGGATCCTCTTGGCTAGCAGCGCCAAGTTTTGAAATTTTGGATCTAGTATCCCCATACCCCTTTCGGATTGAGGTCGTGCTATTGTCTCCCAGACTACCTTGGTTATGAAACCCTGGTCCTCACTGGCCGTAGGTTTCCATATGTATCTCGCTGCCACCCGTTTGATATCCCCCTATGCCTCTTGGCCCAACAAACAAACAGATTGACAACGGAAACCAAAGGACTTGAAAGGACTTATGCTGAGAGAACCAATGCCCTTTCGAACAAGGAGAGAGCAAAATTATTGACCGAGGAGGAGATCCGTGCTGTCACCTTGCCGGAGAGGATCTGGTCATGGGCCATCGAGCTGTCTGATAAGGAGACCTGAATGCCCAAGAATCTTTCTTAATTATCCGTTGCGACCTGTTTGAGACTCCAGTCCACTTTGAGAGAGTATATTGATGGTAGAAAGTATATCGATTTTTCCCAATTGATGGAGGCTTCGGATAAACTACAATACTCATCTATAACTACTATGTGCTCATTTAGGGAGGAAGTGGTGTTTGCACACGCGACCGTTAGGTCGTCCGCTAGTGCTCGCCCCTTCCAATGCAGGGATGAACTGAGTTGGAGTCCCTTGATTGCCTTGTTATACCTAATGTTGTCAAGGAGCACTTCCAACTGTAGGACAAATAATAGTGAGGCTAATGGATAACCTTGTCGTGGGGACCGTGATAATCCAAATTCTTCCAACAGATGACTGTTCACCATAACAACTGACCTTGCTTGTGCATACATTGCCCTTATCCGACTCGAGAAATCCAGGGCCAAAACCCATTTTAGCCAAAGTGGTTGATACAAAAGCCCAACCTACTTTATCATAGGCCTTTTCCATATCTAATATCAGGACGGCGATTTCCTTATTTTCTGAACCAATAATTTCCAGGGTCTGTGCTGTGGATAAGATGTTTTCAAAAATCGATCTACCCTTCACAAAGGCCCCTTGTTCCCTTCCTACCAATTGGGGGAGTTCTCCAACCAGTCAAAGGCCGAAGGCTTTTGCCAGAATTTTATGTACCTCGTTTGAAATTGAGATTGGTCGATAATTTCGGACTTCCCGTTTGTCTTCCTTCTTAGGCTGTAAGGAGATAATCCCTTTAACCCACTGGTGGGGTAGTGAGCCAGCGGCTAAAGTGTCGTTGTAGATTTAACATAAGAAGGGACTGAAGGTTTTCCAGGTGCACAAAAACAACTCCAGCGGGAGCCCGTCCAGGCCTGGGCATTTGCCCTAGGCCATTTGTTTCATGCCGGTATGGATCTCTCATTCTGTCGAAGGAGAGTCCAGGG